GCTGTACAATGATTATCGACAGCTATCGATGGTCATTAGAAAACATCGATTTTTGGGGTATATTTTTAGCACATCATGCCACCTCGCTTGCATTGGATACAAAGAAATGTTTGTCACAACTAAGGCATGTCAACTGTTGTAGTACACGCAAGTTATCACAGATACGTACATTAAGCCATGAAATACTGACTATATTTATAGCAATGTATCCAGTGACTTTGTAAAGCGTCGACATTGTGTATATTGCGGTTGGACTAGCTTCTAGACGCTTTGTACAACGTGGACAACTAACTAGCGACGAATGTAAAACATGTGTTCAACAGACGCGATGTCAAGCGCAAATATATATTCCTTTGTGCAGCCAATAAAGTAATACTTACTGAAAAAAATCAACATACGGAAAATGGAGTGATCGAGTGAGTGAGCGAGCGAGAATATTCCAGCAAAATCACGGCGGGGGACACCAGAAATGGGCGTCACACGTCATAATGGCAGCTGATATGCGGTAAAAACAAACGTGAGTTTTGTGCCAATGTGGTCATAAAACAGATATGAAACTGTTCGCTTATGTGATTATATATGTATGTTATGCCATCTATGAATGTTAATAAATGAAAACAAGTATGTCTTGTTAGTATTTTTTTATTTCTGTGAATATTTTTACATACGATGAAGATAACTAGATCTACCATTTCTGATATGCATGCAACAGTATGACGATCATGACATTTAGTAAACATTGATATTTTCACACAAATACATTAATCCGACATTTTCGTTAATCCGACAATTTCGTTAATCCTACATATTTCTCTGCAACCACAAGTGTCGGATTAACGAGAGTTGACTGTACATTGTACTCATGTGGAGAATGAAACCCGGGTCTTCGATCGGTGTGACAAGCCAACGCTCTATTAACCACTATAAATCTTCCCCACTACCACCATCATTCACGAATTCACGATAGCTGTAAACCTGATATCTATTTTGTGATATCGTAAAACATATGTACAAAGAAGTCGAGTTGTTGTTTTTTTAAAACGTAGAAGTGTTTTAAATTCGTTCTGTCATCATAAGATAATGTTACGGTTTAAGTTTCAATAAATCGATTTTGTGAGATCAGTAATTTTACAGCACAGGTGAAATGTCAGTGCCGAAGAAGTTCTTTTATCCGCACAATTCACGTTAAATTTTTGTAAGAAATGTAGGAGATAAACTTTATGTATTTTCAGATTTAGGGTTTCACAGGGTACCTGATACCCCAAAATGTCAAACCAACGTTTCTAGCAGAAGGCTTCAAATTCCTTCCATTTTTGTACCAGGTGTAATATCACTATTCCACTTGATTTGATTTTACAATGGAATTTTGGTGGTTAAATACAGTTTGGCTTAAAGGTTACGATCTTTGAATCCAAAAAGTAATGGAATTTGTCAGCAATCGTTGGTTAACGCCACACTCAGCAGAATGACGGTGGCTGGTCTCTGAAATGAACATATTTTATAGTGAGTGAGTGAGTTTAGTTTTACGCTGCACTCAGCAATATTCCATCTATATGGCGTTGGTCTGTAAATAATCGAGTCTGGACCAGACAATCCAGTGACATGTGTCAACCAAGTCAGCGAACCTGACCACCCGATCCCGTTAGTCGCCTCTTACGACAAGCAGGGGTTAGGGAAGATTCATTCTAACCCGGACCTTCACAGGTCACATATTTTACAGAAAAGAAACACTTTCTAAATCATAATCATATAATATAAAAAAAGGAGACCAGAGACTTTCTTCATTTTGAAATTGTGGAAATCTAGACTTGCCACTAATTCTAGACTTGCATAGGCTTTCTTTGATATACATGTAGTTGTTTCAGGGTGTGTGTGACACACAAGACGGTGGCTTATAAGTAACGAACGAACGAATAAGAACAATTTCATTATCTTCAGATAATCCGCCACATCCTGCGGACAGTTGTATCCTGTAGCTGAACGTGGGGTAGAAGGTCACTAGATGATGATCTAATGCAAGATAGTGTGCTAATCGTTGACCGTTGTCATGGTGATAGCCCGGAAAATTAACGAAAACAGTGTTTAGAACTCATTCCCGTAGAACTGTTATATGGACTAATTCAGGACAGCCATCGTCCAAATATTTAAAAACTAAAAACTATGTACTCAAGACATGTGAGACTTTATTGTAATTTTTAAATATGACGCTAATCTGTATTCTATGTAATCCTTATCACTTCCGCATTGTACATTGACTTGTCAGGCAGTTAATTACTGTATATGACATTTACAACCTTATTTGGTCATCCCCCCTTTGCCGTGTCTGCCATCACATCAACTGGTCAAGGAAGTGCCATTGTTTTTATATGTGTCCATTGTTGAGTTAGTATACTTAGTATGCTCACATCTAGAGGACCGCCTCCGTGGTGTAGTGGTTAGAGCGTCCGCCCGGAGAGCGGAAGGTCGCGGGTTCGATCCCCGACCGCGCCATGCCAAAAGACGTTCAAATATGGTACTTGTTGGTCCCTGCCTGGCGCTCGGCATTAATGGGTACAACAAGGACTGGTCGGCTCGGAGTCAGTATACTGTGTCTGAGTGGGGTATTCATGCTTCACTGCGGCATGGTATCTAAGTGGGCTAGCACTATAAAACCAGCTTAAGTCTGCGCTAGTACAAGCAGCCGCACATACACATACACACACGCATGCACGTCGTCATATGAACGAAATATTCTCAAGCACGACGTAAAACCCAATTTCACCTCACCTCATATCTAGAGTGTGAAGGAAAACAGAGTCGAGTCCGGTATACCGACTGTCTGTGTAAGGACGACCGCGAGCAGGATATAATGCCGCTCGTAGGAAACGCCCTGGGGTTGAGCAGGTTCTCCGCTCACCACATTTATGTCTTGTGTATTTGTTTGCCATGTACCTAAAGAAGTTTGAACTCAACTATGCCTTCGTCTTCATCAATGCACACTTCATCTTAACATGAGCTTATTCCCCAGTTGACGCATATCCACGCGTTGACAGTAGGGGTGGGTATTGCAGAGAATTTTCATATTGCGATATATTGCGATGCGGAAGCATATATTGCGATATGTGTTGCAATATATTGCAAGGATTATTTTTTAAACAAAAACTACTTATAATCGAGTTAATGCTTGATTATAAGCAAAAACACAACACAATCACTATGATTGATTAACCGTGTATAAAAACTTTTAATCATGACAAAATAAAAATGTAATTAACATTTGGCACTAAGGAAACAGGGAAAAGAACAATTCAAAAAACGGAAATATCCGAAGATTTCCGAGTGTTACGAAGTTTTCCGAATGCATGTCTTCACCGGTAAATACCGGTAAACCGGTTATATTGCGCAGCCCTAGTTGACAGAAATAACGTCATCCTAGTCAAGTGGTTGTCGTTTAGAATAGAACATGTGTTAGTTATCTTGATGTGTGACATTACATACCAGAAACTGTAGGCGTCAAGTGGCACGTGACCGGTATAGTCCCGTGGTCGATACCCGAACTGGTATGGTGTTAGATGTTAGGCTCGATATTGTTCCAATTAAATACATGCGCGTGTCTACGTGCGTGCGTGCGTATGCGCGTGAGCTTACTGAGATAATATGGGTTTGAAGATGAATACCCCTCTTGAACAAAGTGTACCGACTCCGAGATGACCCAGTCTTATGTCCTCAATGCAGAGGGGCGGTGGGTTAGCCTAGTGGGTAGAGCGTTCGCTTGTCATGCCGATGACCCGGGTTTGATTCCCCATATGGATTACAATAAGTGAAGCCCATTTCTGGTGTCCCCCTCCGTGATATTGCTGGAATATAGCTACAAGAGGCGTAAAACTAAACTGCTCGTAAAAGGCGACAAACGGGACGGGTGGTCAGGCTCGCAGAAGATCTGGGTTAGAATGTATCTTCAGTAACCCATGCTTGTCGTAAGAGCCGACTAACGGGATTGCGTGGTCAGGCTCGCTGACTTGGTTGATACGTGTCATCGGTTCCCGATTGCGAAGATCGATGTTCATGCTGTTGATCACTGGATTGTCTGCTCCACACTCGATTATTTACTGACCGCCGCCATATAGCTGGAATATTACTGAGTGCGTCATAAAACTAAATTCACTCACATTAAAGCGTCGGCCTTTTTTAGTCGGCCTCACCACAATAAATTCAATGCTCGTTTCCAGTATCGTACAAAGCTGATCTTTTTGGCATTTATAACATGGACTCCATTAAAAATGTATTCTCCCATTTCATACGTGTTTATTATTTATTCAATATATCTGTTATTTGTCAAATCTAATTTTAAGACACCGTTAGGTTATAAATTGAAACTGATACTTGCACCGTCTCATCCAGTAGCAGAATATGGGTCAGTGGGGTAGCCTAGTGGTTAAAGCGTTTGCTGGTCACGCCGATGACCCGGGTTCGATTCCCCACGTGGGTACAATGTGTGGAGCCCATTTCTGGTGACTCCCGGCGTGATATTGCTGGAATATTGCTAAAAGCGGCGTAAAACCATACTCACTCACTCAGTCAGTTGCAGAATATATTGAGAATTCGTGTCTTATTATATAAGCTAACCATTACCTCAAAATTTTATTTTAATCTTATAATATTTACAGTTGTTTTTTTTCAGGATCAAGCCGTGTTTTGATTCTGGTTACTTCCATTCTAGATTTCACCAACCGCATTACTGAAGACAGACTGGTATATATACATTCGTCACCACTCGCCCATTTCCGTAACCTCCAAGGTATTCGGCTTGTCCCGGAATAACACGAGTTGGTCACGAATGGTATATATACTGCCACTCTCACCACAGCGGCAACGCGTGCGGCGAGCAGCGCAAGCGTAAAAGAACAGACAAACTAGTCTATACTAAAGATGGCCTCGTTTGGGAATCTAATCTATTAATAGTCACCAATATTCGGATTTTCCATCACGTTTCGTTTCCGAGTAATCCAGAGAGTATTAACATGAAATAGACATTGACAGTGCTCGATTGGGGCGGTGCTTGTCAAACACCCAGCCCTTAATGAGGACAACTAAAACAATTCTGGTTTCTCTGTCAGACGAATACTGTCAACAGGCACTGCAAGCTTGTCTGGGCTGGTATGGTAAGGAATAAGAAGCGTTGCTATAAATTGGCTTATTTAAATTTGATATCAGACCGGTCACTTGCTTGACAGTGGAATTGGTGCTCTGACACTTGGACTCCCGTAATATGAATGGGGTGATCAAGCTGTTTGTTTCACCTGGCTTCCGCCATGGTGTCTTTACCTTAGGTGAGGTGAAATAGGGTTAACGTCGAACTTAGAATATTTCGCTCATATTACGACATGCATGCGTTTGCATGTGTGGCTGCTTGTACTAGCCCAGTCTTTAAAAAGCTGCATGTTTTTACAGTGCTAGCTCACTGAGATACCATGCCGCAGTTAAGCATGAATACCCCACACATACACACTATACCGACTCCGATCCTGGTGTTTTGTCAATATTTTTTACAGGCATGTACATTATAGGATCATATACAGGTAGGCAGCAAGCCGTACATGATGATTCATCTGAGGTACATAACATGTAAAAACATGTACACAGTATTATAGATTAATATACATCTATCCTAACAACAAGTGTAACGTTGACCAGAATTGAAGAAAACATTTGTTCAGTACCATTTGATAAATGGAGATATTTGGTAGCATCATAATACTTAATAACGTCTTTTTTAATAAAATTGATATTAGGCAAATAGTTTCCAGTAGCACATTTGAATATACTTTGTTTGACTAGACTGACTGACTGACTGACAGAGTTGGTTTTACGCCGCTTTTAGCAATATTCCAGCAACATCACGGCGGGGAACACCAGAAGTGGGCTTCACACATTGTACCCATGTGGGGATTCGAACCCGGGTCTTTGGCGTGACGATCGAGCCAACACTTTAACCACTAGGCTACCCCACCGCCCCTGTTTGACTAGAAGGATGATTACATTTATAGGATTATTATTTTCACCAAACAAAACCTTTTCAAACGTAAAATTTACTGATAGTTGAACAGCATGAAGCCATTTTGTTACTTCGTTCCAAACTTTCTTTACATGCTCCCATTTCCATAAGCGTTGGCCAGTAGTTTCTAGATCTTTTTGGCAAAAGGAGCATAAAATGTTGTGGATAATCCTGCTAGGGTACATTTGTTTGTAAAATGTTGTGGATAATCCTATATTGTAGCCACCTAAGTTCAGTACTTATAGTACATTTGTTTGGTAAAATGTTGTGGATAATCCTATATTGTAACCACCTAAGTTCAGTACTTATAGTACATTTGTTTGGTAAAATGTTGTGGATAATCCTATATTGTAACCACCTAAGTTCAGTACTTATAGTACATTTGTTTGGGATGAATGTTGTGGATAATCCTATATTGTAACCACCTAAGTTCAGTACTTATAGTACATTTGTTTGGTAAAATGTTGTGGATAATCCTATATTGTAACCACCTAAGTTCAGTACTTATAGTACATTTGTTTGGTAAAATGTTGTGGATAATCCTATATTGTAACCACCTAAGTTCTAAGTTCAGTAAGTACTTATAGTACATTTGTTTGGTAAAATGTTGTGGATAATCCTATATTGTAACCACCTAAGTTCAGTACTTATAGTACATTTGTTTGGGAAAATGTTGTGGATAATCCTATATAAAATGTTGTGTTGATAATCCTATATTGTAACCACCTAAGTTCAGTACTTATAGTACATTTGTTTGGGATAATGTTGTGGATAATCCTATATTGTAACCACCTAAGTTCAGTACTTATAGTACATTTGTTTGGGATGATGTTGTGGATAATCCTATATTGTAACCACCTGTTCAGTACTTATAGATAAAATGTTGTGGATAATCCTATATTGTAACCACCTAAGTTCAGTACTTATAGTATATTTGTTTGGGATAATGTTGTGGATAATCCTATATTGTAACCACCTAAGTTCAGTACTTATAGTACATTTGTTTGGGATGATGTTGTGGATAATCCTATATTGTAACCACCTAAGTTCAGTACTTATAGTACATTTGTTTGGTAAAATGTTGTGGATAATCCTATATTGTAACCACGTAAGTGCAGTACTTATAGTACATTTGTTTGGTAAAATGTTGTAGATAATCCTATATTGTAACCACGTAAGTTCAGTACTTATAGTACATTTGTTTGGTAAAATGTTGTGAATAATCCTATATTGTAACCACCTAAGTTCAGTTCGGATCGGATCGAACCCGCGACCTCTACCCACTACACCACGGAGGCGGTTACCTACACTAGGACTCAGTGTGACCAAGCAGGCTCCTCGATGCTCACTCCACATATTTTATAGCAGAAAAATAAAACGGATGCTGGACGATCCGTACTCACGGAGAGTCGTACCCAATGGCTAAGCCACGCCTAAATTTCTCATCAGATGTATGTTTCTAACCGTTTATTCAGCTCTAAAGTCCTATATATTCAGACCTGCACTTTCAAACAAATTCATTCCTAGCAGTACTATATTCATTACACGCCTCCCACATTAAGTCATTTACATTCCCAGCTTTCATTCATTAAACATTTGAAACATTCATTCGTTTTATATGTTTAACATTCTGTCTTTTTACATTTGAAACATTCTTCTAATTTACATTTACATCTTTATTTTACATTTCAAAAGGGGCGGTGGGGTAGCCTAGTGGTTAAAGCGTTGGCTCGTCACGCTGAGGATCCGGGTTCGATTCCCCACATGGGCACAATGTGTTAAGCACATTTTTGGTGTCCCCCGCCGTGATATTGCTGGAATATTGCTAAAAGCGGCGTAAAACTAAACTCAGTCAGTCAGTTACATTTCAAAAATTCATTTTCATTTAATTCATTCATTTGAAACATTCATTCCATAAATATTTGAAGCTTTACGTTTCAAACATTCAGTGATTATATTTGACATGTGACGTTACTCCTGGGGCGGTGGGGATGCCTAGTGATTAAAGCGTTGTCACGCCGAAGACCCGGGTTCGATTCCTCACATGGGTACAATGTGTGAATCCCATTTCTGGTGTTCCCCCGCCGTGATATTGATGGAAGATTGCTAAAATCTACTTAAAAGTGAACTCACTCACTCACTCGCTTTACTCCTCAAGACGTCTGGCACCCGTGAAGATCTGGGTTCGATTCCCCACATGGGTACAATGTGTGGAGCCCATTTCTGGTGTCCCCCCAGCCGTGATATTGATGGAATATTCCTATCGGCTTAAAACTAAACTCCCTTTACTACTGGAGACGCCTGGTCTTGGCTTTAGTTGTATTTACTGCTGATATCTCTCTCAATTTGCTATATTTTACCTTAGGGACCGTTCATAATTTATGGCTAGGGGTGTGTGGGATGTGGGGTGATGATGATTTTTATGGAGTAGCATGTACAATGTGAGTGACCCCCCCAAAAAAAAATAAAATTAAAAAAATTATGTACAAAGTAAGTGACCCCCTGCATGTCGTGTACAAATTCAATGCCCCCCCCCCTATTTTTTAAGCATACTGTTTTAATAGATTTATGTACAAAATTGCTGACCCCCCTAGTACATGTATACAAAATTGATGACCCTTCCCACTTCCCCAGAACATTATGGGTGAACCCCCCTTAAAATCATCATCACCCCCCACCCTTATCCATAAATTATGAACGGTCCCTTAGTCTGAAGAATTAGGAGAGCAGCCATATAACCCCAGAGGGCAGTATTCTAAAATGTATTTATGTTTCTTTCACAATCTGGCAGCTGCAGGTTACGAAAGATGGCAACAGCTAAATTCATAGAGACACACCTGACGTGTGCTATCTGCAAGGACGAGTTCAAGGATCCACGTTGTCTCCCATGCATGCATAGGTTCTGTCTGGCATGCCTAGATGATCTCATTCAATCAAATGTAAAAAACAAGGGCAAGAAAAAGAATAAGAAACCTTCAGGAATTGATTGTCCACAATGCAGACTGTTTGTCAAGCTACGGAACACAACTCAGCCCCGAGAGGTATGGGCGGAGCAGTTTCCTGCTGATTTCGCCTTGAAAAACATCCAGGGAGAAATACAAAGTGAGTATGGTAAACCTTAAACAATCTAGGGCCGGTTGTTGCCGGTTATCTTAACTGCCGGTTGTTGAATACCCGGTTATCTTAACTGCCGGTTATCGTAACTGCCGGTTAACTCCTTACTGCCGGTTATCTTAACTGCCGGTTATCTTAACTGCCGGTTAAATCCTTACTGCCGGTTAACTCCTTACTGCCGGTTAACTCCTTACTGCCGGTTAACTCCTTACTGCCGGTTAACTCCTTACTGCCGGTTAACTCCTTACTGCCGGTTAACTCCTTACTGCCGGTTAACTCCTTACTGCCGGTTAACTCCTTAACTGCCCGTTAAATCCGCCGGTTAACTTACTGCCGGTTAACTCCTTACTGCCGGTTAACTCCTTACTGCCCGTTAAATCCTTACTGCCGGTTAACTCCTTACTGCCGGTTAAATCCTTACTGCCGGTTAACTCCTTACTGCCGGTTAAATCCTTACTGCCGGTTAACTCCTTACTACAGGTTAAATCCTTAACCGGCCTTTAGCCAACCGAACGTTAAATATGCTGAACACTTACCTAAAACCGGATTATTCTTCACACCCTATCAGTTTATCTTTTTGACAGCATTGTGCCTTTTTTGTTCACATTGGGGATAGCTGATTTTGGATTATTAATTGCATTGTGCTTTTTAAAGATCCAGACAACGATGAATGCAGAAATAAATAGTAAAGACTGATGTACTTTCTTTGTAGGTGGTGATGTTGTATTGTCAGAAACAAACCACGGTGATGGCAGCAAAGAAGATAAGGTCGCTGACGAGAGTTCTGCGAAAGGAACACCATCACAGCTGCGGGGGGCAGACTGGAACACCACTACCAACACTGATAGGGGTGACAAGAAACAGGACCGGAAAGCCACTCGGAAAATGACAGGAAGCTTTCATAAAGTGATCCCTCTTCAACCCGACAAGACGCAGCCAGATGCCTATGACCTCGCTGTTTTGGTGCAGGGTGACAAGAAATTGATCGTCGTCCCAGATTTTGCGAATCACAAATTGCTTCTTTTGACCTTAAATATTGACATGGAAGTGGCACAAAGAAGTAAGTATGATCTTGGCGCCAAACCTTGGAGGATTTGTGAGGTGGAACAGAACCAGGTTGCTGTCACTGTGAGCGAGCCATCTGGGGTTGTGATATGTACCGTGGACGTTGAGCGATCTCATGTTGAGGAGAAATTGTTTTTTCCAACCAAAAAGCGGTATGATGGAATCTGTGCCTTACCTGGTAGAAAATTTGTTGTGACTGTTGATGACAGTGTTGATATAATACAAGACAACGGCACAGTGCTGAAAGAGCATGAAATCAAGGCTCCTCACGTCAAATTTCCAGACACCTCCTACGTCACCGTCACACCAAACAGCACCATCGTTGTCACAGACTGCGGGGGCAACACAGCATCTTTCCTCAAACAGGATGGTATTGTGATGTGGCGCAAAAACATAAAGTGCTTAGGCGTGGCTTGTGACAGTGATGGGAATGTTTACGTTGCCGAAACCGGCCAAGGATCCATCGTGCAGTTCTCCAGCAGAGGAAGGCTCGTATGCAGGGTGATAGGGGAATCAGAACACTTCAGTAAGCCCTCGGGAGTAGCAGTTGATAACATGGGTTATCTGTATGTTATGTGCAACTATAAGGATGTCACAGTGTGGAAGCTCGGACATGAGGCTGTGTGAGTGTATGATAGAATGGCGAGGGCGCCAGACTGTTGTGTCCATTGGGTGACAGAAAGAGATGACCTGAGACTGTAGACCACATCGAGTGTCTTGACCCAAGAAGGAGAAGGTGACTTTGGATCCCATCAGAGTGTCTTGGTCTGAAACGGAAAGTATACCATGTTGTGAATCCATTTAGGGTGTCTTGACCGAAGACAGAACGAGCACCTGTCTGTGAGTCCCTTGTCTTGTGGTAGACATGATGTGTCTTTAGGTAGAAATTGACTTGAAGGTTGGCATTCACGTCTCATATTTTGCGTTTATTTGATTACATGATTACATAGTTATTGAGTACAGGTACAGTCCGTTTGAGTCAGAAACGGACCGATGAATTGCAAATTTTATCATTGTACAAAATTGCCACATAAATATAAATAGTACACATGTTTATCATTTACTAATACCCAACAGCTTTCTTATATTTGAAAATTTTCCGGACTCCACCCGAAAAGTTCTTTAAGAAACTATCATTAAACTTTTGACACAGTTCACTATTTGTTACGAGGGAGGAGTGCAGAGAAAGAGACAGCCAGGTGTGCGAGAAAGGATGGAGACGGCACAGCACAGGCTAATGAATCAATAACTTGGTGGGCACTTATGCACGTGCTTCTCTAACACCTGGCTGGTAAAGGGGGGTGATAGTGGGTAATCATGTGGCTCAGAAGTCATCTTAGTCCATAGTAGTGCTGGGAATTGGTTGAAATCTCATACTAGTAATTGATGATTGCTTCATTACCAACGAACAATCATCGATAAAAATTGGTTAGCGTCAATTTTCAGATTTTCCTATCCAGGTTGTTATTGCAGATATGTATAACATGATGCAACTTGCTTCTTTTAAGTGATGTTGATATATCATGAACATAAACCTTCTGGGGTCTTCAAGAAATATTCAGTCATGACTTTTCAGTTAGTGAAGTGAGTTTTCTAAGAATTAAACAAGTTTTCAGGCCCTGACAACTTCGAAGATATGTTCCATCGTCAAGTGTTTCAAAGACTAAAACAGCAGTTCCAAAATCGTTTGTGTTCGATTATGAGAATGTGAATGCATGGCACCCTTTAAGAGTTATGTACAAAGTAAGTGACGCCCCACCGCCCCTGCATGACATGTACAAAATCAGTGACCACCCCATACATTTTAAGCATATTATTAAAATTATTATTCATATTAACATGCACAATGTGTACAAAATTTATGTAGACAAAATTGATGACCCCTACCTCCCAAGAACAAAATGCGTGACCCCCCTTAAAGTCACAATCATCACCCACCCCCATCCCCCACTCACCCCGCAATAAATTATGAACGGTCCTTAATCACATCTTGCTCCTTTATTGAGATCATATTGATACAGCCAATTTTTGAGCTTTTCACGGACCTATGTGAGCTCAAGGTTCGTTTAGATTATTTATGAAAACAGTCCTGTTTGTTTTGTATCATATTTTACACTACTGCGCTGACTATATGTACAATCTGGATGTTCAATCCTCAGGACAGACGCGCTCATACCGCAATGTCTAAAGGCAGATAAGCCAGTAAACAGTGTATTTGGAAACGTGCTACTGGTTTACAACCCACTGAAGAGAAAGGGAAAGAAAATTATTGTTTTGATCTCATATTACTGTAATTTCATATTTTGTCTTGTACCCTAAGCTTCTGTTTTCTTTCTGGTGAGAACTAGCCTTTGCACGTGTTCATGACGGGAGCCACAGGTGGGGCTGAATAGGCTGATATCATAACTATCTGATAGTGAATCATAAACACGACTGTTGTCGTATCTCATGATAGCAAGCAGTGAAGTGTAGGGTCCGCCGTCATACCGAGCAGTTGGTGAGCGTGACGTTAACAGACGTACAAACACATGCTCATAATATCTGCTGTTAGCAGACATGTCTTATGGTTGTGGATATAGTTTTGTGGCCAGTATTTTATACCAGTCAACACTCGTACTCTTAATCAATGCAGTATTTATATTTACTCTTTAAAATTTCTTAACATTCCTTGTAGAGTTAATTTTATGGCAATGCGTATCTGTAAATGATTCTACATCTGAGTAGCATGCCAGTGATGTATTCCATGGTGATGCATGTGTGTTTGTAAAACATACTTTCTTTGGGACAATAAAGTGTTATCAATCTATCAGTGGATACCTTACTCAGTTTACATTTATAACTAGAATATATTTAAACTATTTAAACTATTTAAAGTGTGTATGCCATCTCTAAGAACAACTGAACAGGCATTGCCCATTATAAGTTGTATGCTTCTCTCGAGGGTAATACGGTCTGATGTACGCCTTTTTGAAGCAGTGTCACCCGAGCCGTTAGACCGTATTACCCGTGGGAGAAGCATAGAATGTATTTCTCTTACCGCCATGTTAAATGTACAAAATACCATTTTATTTTATGTTAAAGATCGTGACCGACTATATGACATGTAAACAAAATGGCGTCTGTTTCTCTACTGGATTTTTAAAATCAGTGAAACATGTTCTGACAAACCTAAAACTGCTATAAAAATGGTTAATTTTGTTTAAGTTGAGTGTGCAAATGATTCAATGTATAAAATAGTTTAAATAAAGCAGCGAAAGTCAGTAAAATAAATGTGTACTTCATGAACTCAGAAAGAGCTAATCGAACGGTTTTCGAACCCCATGCACTGCATGCGTCATATTGTAACGTCATGCGATTGTTAGCGATACAGCATCTCGGCGGAGAATTTGGCGGTACCGTGGCAGCGGGTAATATTTTTCCAGTTGTGACCCTCCTGGGAGGGGTGACACCGAAATTGTTAAAGCATCATTGACCAATGAAATTAAAGTATTTTACATGAAGGTAAGATAAGTTGTAATGTTCTTAAGTGTTTTAATTTTGTTCTTCTTATTTACAAAATAATGATGATGATTTGTGCCAATGATAAAAAAAACCCCTCATTCATGTACCCATAGAGATCTGCATACCTTTTTTCATGTAATGGTATTAGATGTCACGTTCATCATTTAAACCATGGTTCCTAGTTTGGTGATCTACCTTCGGTTGCTGATGATCTCCAGTCAGTTTTTTATATTTATATATATATATATATATATATATTGTTTTGTCCGCAATAGAGGTTTAATTGGTTTCAAGTCCCAATCTGTCACAATCTAGTCATTTTACTGTCCTTCGTAGACAGGTTTTTATATTTTAACTGTGTTTATCATGAACTTTTGTAGTCATGATATGGCTGAAATATTGCTGATGTGACTAGAAATCTTAACTCACTCACGCCCCTCCTGAAGAATTCTGGATTAGACAAGGGGATACTGAAGAACTACCTTCCGGTTTCGAAAAGTTGTTTCGTCCCGTTTTCAACAAAATCTGATCACCAACAACCTGCAGGACAACTTCCAGTCAGCCTACCGCACTGGACACTCCACAGAGACAACTCTTCTTTGTGTTCATCATGACATTGCCACGGTTCTCGACAACAGGGCTGAACCCAACAAGTAGCAATATTTAGGACCAGCTTTGTCGATAGCCAAGTGTCTTGAATTCAGTATGCCACAAGGTTTCAGTTCTCAGACCAATTCTTTACTGCCACTATTCCATGCCAATGAGTGAGTGAGTTTAGTTTTATGCCGCTTTTAGCAATATTCCTGAAATATCACGACGGGGTACACCAGAAACGAGCTTTCACACATTGTACCCATTTGGGGATTCGACTCCAGGTCTTTGGAGTGAAGAGCGAACGCTTTGACCACGAGGCTTCCCCCACCGCCCTGATAACGAGTGATGAGGGTCGTTGATGCCTACTAAGAGGAGGGGACAATCGAGTGGACAATATACTGCCTCCAAATCTCAACACTATCAAACACAACCAGCAGCCATTTGCGATGTCGTACATCCATCCACTGATTGGATTTCTGTCCAACATGCATGACTGACATCCCCAACTGGACCAACTACAGTATGTTGACGGTCAACAAAGAGAAGACTGTGATGATGGTTTTCAAACCCAAGAGTCATTCACAGGCTACCGAGGACATCGGGCTGACAGTTGGAACAAGCACAAAAGCCAACTGCAGACTCTGTAAAGAAATATTGGGGTCGCCAGCTCTCTCTCAATGGAGAAGCAGGTAAATGCCATCAGTAAATCCTGCTTCTACCAAATCAGGAACCTTGGAACAATCAGACCATACAAAATCTCTTGTCTGACTATGGACACGCCCTCCTGGTGGACTGCCCTAATCCCTTGTAAACAGTGTGGCTCGACTCTCATCTGTCTGACTTGCCTGGACACGCCCTCCTACAAGTGCTGCATGGCACTGCCCTCAGTCTCATCATACGATCCCGTCTCAATCAGAGTGCAGTAACAGTGTGGCTCGACTCTTTAGAAACTCTCTGGAACAATCTACCCTACCAGAGGCCCTGATTCAGACGACTGTTTAAAAATGGGCGTCAAAACCCATCTATATAAAACCTGTGGACCCCTGAACTAATGCGCTCACAACAAATAGCAGCAAATTTATGCCGTCATCCCAGTCGTTCTTAGCCTCAAAACGTATTGATGAAATTCTTAAGAGTCTGATGAAATACTAATCTAATACCCACGGAGTGTCAGGATGATATGCCAAACTGATGCATAACCTGCCGGAAAACACCAAACGTAAAACTGAAGCCCTGATCTGACTGACCAATCCAAAGCAAAACACTCATGGTGAAAGAACTTCACGAAAGCCTTGATAATGAACTGAGTTCATTTTTTCATAAAGATCGACTCTGTAAACCTTGCTTAAGCACACATGACAGTGAGCATGTACTGATTATCTGAGCTTGTTTAAGGCAAAGAACAAGAAACACATTGTGCCTCTTCAAAGTCTGGACTGGGTTCCAAGGGAGCATCGGGAGTTTTCATATTGGCTACAGAGGTGGCATGTTTTGCAAAACCTATCCACATCATGCCGCATATTTAGACAAAAGAGATGGGTCAAAATATTTGTGATAAGTTTTGTTTACACCTAGATGACCTGTCAAAGGAGTGTAATGTGCCAAACTCAAAAACATGGTTTTGATATATATTTTGAAGAACAGTCTGATGAAAAAGCATCCATTCGTTTTCAGCAGGAACATCTGGAAGCCACCTTTTCCTCAATGATGTCCTTAAAACAATAACCACATCAGAATCTTTAAACAGAGCAAGAGAATGCTGCAAGAAGTAACATTGGAATCATTCTCTTAAGACATTAACATGAATATAAACACACGGAAGAAAAATATCTGCCTGTTCTTCTTAAGACTTTCAGTAGTTTCTGCTGACAAATGACATGGTCATTTCCTCTGGCCCAATCAATTTAAATAGAGAGACTTTGAAGAAGCTCCACCTCAACCAACCCAGTCACCAAGTTAGTAAAGCTAGAAAAAACATTTAACAAAACCTCAGAGTTAGCTGGTAACTCCCCAGACATCCAAAATCAGAGTTTGAAGAGCACCTCAAAACAATAATCGGCTAAACATTTGAACTGTCACTTTCAGCTAACATAAAATCTTTACTGCAAAAGCTGAATCATGGACATGTTTTACAAAGAAATTATCATCAAGCTTCACCTCAACCAAACAAATTCACAATTAGAACTGGTAAAGTTAGGAACAAAACCTCAGAAATGGCAGACACTAGGTGGCACTGTTGCGCCCAGAACCAGAGTTTGAAGATCCCCTCAAAATGGTTATGAGCTTAACGCTGGAACTTGCACCTTTAGCTGACACAAAACCTTTACTAAGAAAAAGGAAAATACTCCTCTTTCACATCAACGACCTCTATAAAAAAGCCGAGTTACAACAAGGCTGCAATCTGACACTTACAAAAGCTTCGGGAGAAAGCTTACCTAGACTCACGCTTAGTCTCTGAATATAGTCAATTTTTGATAACTCACTTAAACCATTTAAGCTGAAAATGTGATTCAGAACCTTGGGAAATCTTGACTTGCATTTATAGAGGGGTTTAGCATTGCAGGGAGGGCAAGGCCGTAGGAAGAACGTCCGCAAAACCCTATTCCATTATGCTACCGCTATCAAATCTGTCCACTTCACGGACGCAGACCTGAGAATGGCGTTCACCTTGCCTGTGGTACATTCAGGCCCTGTCGTCGGCAAATCTTAATGTGAATCGAGATTCGTTGCTGAAGACAACCGAATTCCACTGTCTGTGATTGAACCTCATGTGTCTTGTGCCCCACACCAGTGGGTTGCAGCGATGAAGAGGCGTTAAAATTGGTCCATTATGGGGTCTTCGGATGCGAAGTCCATCGGTCCGTAAGTTATTTCTGACAGGTTGTGTAGTTTTATTTCTCCCTACTTGTGGAAGTTGCATTAACAAATCTGTTCCGAAGATGACGTAATCGTATTGCTTGATCTTCCCGGAGTGACGTCACGCATGACGGTCGGCAACAGTTCCGGTTTGATGCACTCTGATCCTAAGATTTAAAATTGTTTATCGTGAACAAGTAAAGGCTTGCAACAGCGACCACAGACTGACCACTATCAAGACTCCCAATAGCACGGTGA